AGTTAGCAGAATGGAGAGCAGAGGAGGATAGGAGCCCTAAAGCAGACACTTAGTTTCAAAGCTGGTCAATTAAAAAGAAAAAAAAAGCGCCTAGATCCAAAGTGGGGGGGGGGGTTGAGCAGAAACAGGGAGCCCTCCCTACACTGCCAAGCGACCAGAGAGCCCCTCCCCAGTAAAAGTTTACATATTGACCGACCACCGTAGGAAACTTCTTAATTAGGCCTCAGACCCCTGGAGAAACAGGGATGTCCTTATGTCAACAGAGTTTCCAATTTAGCGACACCTCGGACTGAAAAAAGCTCCGCGGCAAACGGGGGTGAAAGTTTAAGAGGGAATAAGCGTGTAATAGTCCCTCGCCAGACCTCACACATGCTGAAGAGAATATTTACAGCAAACTTGCCAAAGTAAACCACCCCGCCTACCCACCATCCTTTCCCCCCGTCTCCCCCCCTTTTTTGTAAACTGCAGATAAACAGCATTCGGTCACCAAAGGGTCGGTTGGTCCCCTTTATAGTTTGAGGCAGGCGATGTCATAGGGAAAAGTAGGATCGAGCAGAGGCTTCCTGGATGATCTTTGGCAAGGCTAGCTTTTCTGCTGCGTCCGTGGCCTGGGCAGTGGCTTGGTTTCGCATTTGTGTGTGTGTATAGGAAATTTGTTCTGAGGTTCCTCTAACCCTTCCCCACTTTACCATCTGCACACACACACACACACACACACACACAGAGCTTGGCCTTAAAAACTGCAGGCATTACAGATACGGAGAGGTGGGTTTAATTAAAAAAAAAAAATCAGGCCTGCAAAAAGGTGCGGGGAATATCTGGGGGCCATCAGAAGTTCCCTGGGTCCCCTGCGATCCAAACTTCAGCCCCCCTGCTCCTTTCTCCCGCCCTTAAAGCACCGCTCCTCAGACTCAGCGGAGGGGCAGACTCATTCAGTGTTTCCCGAATGTCTTTTGTTGAGCGCGAGGCGGGGAGAGAGAGACTATCGAGGGGTTCTGCAAACAGAGAGAGGGAGAGAGAAGGCCGTGTAGACCCCGCGCCTGGGGCCGAAAGCCGCGGGCCGGGGGCGCGCTAGCCTTGCGCGTTCCCCCGACTGCCAGGCTTGGCCCAAGTCTCCAGAAGGCGCTGGCCAGTGTTTCACCCGAATGCGATGGCCACCAGGCCGCTTTTGTTTGTTCGCAAATTAATCACCCAGCGCACGGCCGGCGCCAGAGTGGGTTTATCACCCACCGGGAGGGGGGCGCGACGGCCCAGCAAAGACAAAGAGGAGTTCGCACCTTCCCGCTTTTGATCCCAATTTGCCGCGGCCTCCCTGCAGAATACGAGCCTCCTGGGGCCGAGTCTGGGAGGTCGGTCATAATTGGCGGAAGTTTGCAGACCATTAGCAAGACGTGGACATTTTCGAATCAGACCCCGCAAACTTTCCTCTCTTCTCCACCCCCCCTCACCCCTTGCGAGCAAGAATGGGAGCGGGGATATGAAGTGGCAACTAGGGTGACCCCAGGGTTAAGTTAGAGCTAGGGGCAAAAATAGGCATTTGAGGGAGGGGGCGGTGTGAGGGTCAGAGATCCCGCTCGGTCCACTCTGGGGCCAAAGGCAAGTCGAGATATTTACAAGTAAAATTAGCAAGCTCCCTTCCCACGTCCAAGACTGTAGGGAGGCCAGGAAGCCGAGGCCCTGGTGGAAATGTCTCTCCCGAGCATCTGGACGCTTGGGGCACCGAGAGAGGAGGGGGGTCAGTCACGTTGTGCCAGCAGAACTGCTTTCCTTCTACTCCCAGCGGCCGGGCAGAGATTGGCTGGCGAGTGCAGGCAAAACCTGATCGCGGGGATTTGGGGCCGCTCCTGAAAGCGCCGCGGCGCTGCCCGCGGGCTCAGGCGGCGAGCAACGTGGGGGAGGGGGTGGGTGTGGGCCTCCAGAGACTCGTGAAACCCTGCGGTGACCTCGGTGGACGGCGTAAGGAGGGGGAAGGCCTGGCCTCTCGCACCCTCCAGGATCGGGCCGCTAAGGGACGCGGGAGGTGGGTGGGTGGGTGGGGGGCCGAAGTGAGCCGACACCCTGGGCCCCTACCGCCTCTTGCTTTTCTCTCCCGCTTTCTCTCTTCTCAACCACCGGCAGAGAGGCCCCGAGAGGACGCCAGAGAAAGACAGGCCGAAAGGGAAAGAAAGGGGCGAGATGGCGAGCCAGACAGAGTTCCGAAGAACCACTCCATTCTCTCTGGTGACTTTAGGGAATTCTCTGCGCTGGCGCCAAGCGCTCTTAACCATGTGCGTCAAAAATGCGAGGCTGGAAAAGCTTGTCGCCTCAAAAGTTCCGCCCCTATCTCGAGGCGGTTGGCCCACAAAAGAAGTGCATTTTCACCCTCCACTTGCTCCCATTTCGGAGTCTGGGGGCTGGGGGCCTGGGGGTCCACAAGGCAAACTAAGAGAGGATGGTTCTGACTGTCTACGCAGACACACACACACATATCCCAAGCCCTGGGTTTCTTAACCCCCTAGGCCCCGAAACCAGCCCTTTCTCCTTTCCTTTCCACTCGAGGCAGCTCTCAACTCAGGAAGGGTAAAAGAACATTCTCCCCCAAGATTTCCCTCCATCTAAGCAGGGACGGCCCAACTCACTGCCCCCCCCCATCCGCAAAAGCGAGGAATGTGGGTTTGGGGAATCCTCTGACCCAGACAGGGACCTGCGGTAACAGATATCAATTCGGCGACAGGTCTGATTTCGTAAGTTCCCTCCCTCCCACCCCTGCACCCTCGCTGACGCCCCCACCCTACCTGAACTGGAACAGTCACCTCGCCTCTGGGGTGGGGGCGTATCACGGTTTGTTCTACAAATTCACCCCCGACTTCTGGTGAGATAAGTCCCCGGGTGCACGGAGAGATAAGTGCGACGCCTGGAGATTATACCAGGAGGGCGCGCCTCCCCCTCCCAGCTCGCCCGCGGCCCGGGGAGGTGAGGGCAGCGGCTCCGCGGGGGCAGGCCCAGAACCTAGTCCCTCGCGGCGCTCCTTCTGTCCGGGTCTCCATTCTCTGCTCCACACTCACGCACACAGTCAGGCGGAACTCTCGGGGAGCCCGGATTCAGATATTAGACAAGACTTAAAAGGGCTGGTAAATGCATTTCGAAAAAAAAACAAACCCCAAACCCCGAGTCCGGCTCCCCCGGGGAGCGCCACCAGGGCCGGCGGCGCAGGCTGTGTACGTGTTTGCGTGTACGTGTTTTCCCGCGGGTGGCTGGGTCCCAGGGTGCCCGCGCGAGTCCGCGCGCAGGAGTGCCGGGGTGTCTGGGTCTCCGCCCACGGTCTCGGGTGGGGCCCGGGCCAGAGGGAGCCCCCGGCCCACGTCTGCCCGGGAGCCCACGAGCCCGGATGCCGGGAGCCCGGCGCGAGAGCCACCCGAGCTCGGGAGCCCTTCAGCGGCGGCCGGGCGGAGCTTGGCTCCACGTGGGGCTGGAGAGCGCGCAAGGCCGGAGTCTCGGCGCTCGCCTCTCCGCCGCTGCCGCCTTCTGCGGCGCCCGGCGGCGGAATGGCAGCTCGCGGGGCACTCGGCCGTCCGCCTGGCCCTCCCGGGGCCGCAGCGAGCGGGTGAGCCGCACAGAGAAACGGCGGCGGCGGCCCGGAGACGAGAGGCGAGGCGAGCGCGCGAGAAGCGAGCGCCCCTGCCCGGCGCCCGGCGCGCTCTCCGCCTTCCTGGCCCGGCGCGCTCGCTCCCTCCTCCTCCCCCTTCCTCCCGGGCCCTGCCTCCTCCCTCGATCCCCGGCTGGATGACTGAGGCATTTCAGACGTGGGCTGAGCCAGCGCAGGCGAGCGAGCTCAGGGGCTGCGGCGATCTCTCGATAAGCCACCTAGAGGCGACTCTGCGCGCGCTCCCCAGTGGCTCCCCGCCCTCCCTCTGATCATGTTGACATATTCACAGGACAGGCAGTAGTACCGATGCGGCGCTGCGACGTTACAGTTTCCGACACCTTCCTTTTATAACTCGGCTCTATCCCCCAGCACTCGACCTGTGAAAACCACGCCTATGCAGCAACACAATTGGTCCGAAAGCGTCAAAGAGCCAATCAAGAGGCCTCCGGCTCCCCGCAGCCCACAGCAGAGCCCGACCTTCTAGAGCCGCCGAGCAGACGCCCGGGGAATTCTAGAGGCGGAGGAGGGTGGCGCGGAGCTCTCGCTCGCTCGCTCTCGCTCCCTCCCTCTCCTCGCGCTCCCTCTCCCACTCCGTGCCTCTCTCTCCTCTCTGTTTCTCTCTCTCTCTCTCCCCCTCTCCCCTTTTCATTCCCCCCCACTAAATCCTCCCTGCCCTGCGCGTCTGGACGCAGATTTAGGAAGCGATTTCGCTCACGTTTTAGGACAAGGAAGACAGGCGCGGGAGGAGAGCACGGCAAGACTCGGATTGCAACCCAGACACCCTCCGGAGGCTCGGAGCAGAGGAAGGAGGAGGAGGGCGAACGGAAGCCAGTTTGCAGTTCAAGTTTTGATAGCGCTGGTAGAACAGGGCTTAAATCAGAGAGTTGTTTTTTGTTGTTGTTGTTGTTTCTTTTTAAGGCGAGAGACTTTTCCGCTCTCTCGCTCGCTGGTGAAGCCTGGTCTAGCGCAACTGCAGACGCCTCCAGCGAGAAAGAGGGAGAGGAAGACAGACAGGGGGGCGGGGAAGAAGAAGGAGAAGAAAAGGTAAAAAGTCTCCGAGCGGAGCCGTTCGCATTTGCAACAAAGAACTGGGGGCCGGGGAGCGATTCCCGGGACCGGGGGCTGCGGTGTCTCTTCCGGCGAAGCGGCGGGGCTCGGGCGCGGGTGAGACCCTGCTCGCTCCTCTCGCCGGTGAAACCGACTTCCAGGAGCGGCTTTTTAAAAAAAACGCAAGGCACAAGGACAGTCACCCAAGCGACTATGTCTCCTGATTTCTCGCCTTGCCCTCTTTAAAAGCGGCATCCCCCCTCCCCAAAAGACTCTTTCCTCCCCCTTCCCTAGGGTGCTCGAGTGGTGATTCCCCCCTTTTCTTTCTTTCTTTCTTTCTTTTTTTTTTTTTTCCTTTCCAAACTATGTGCTGCTGAAAAACCAAAAACAAAACCAAACAGCAGCTGCGGACTTGTCCCCGGCTGGAGCCCAGCGCCCCGCCTGGAGTGGATGAGCCTCTCCATGAGAGATCCGGTCATTCCTGGGACAAGCATGGCCTACCATCCGTTCCTACCTCACCGGGCGCCGGACTTCGCCATGAGCGCGGTGCTGGGTCACCAGCCGCCCTTCTTCCCCGCGCTGACGCTGCCTCCCAACGGCGCGGCGGCGCTCTCTCTGCCGGGCGCCCTGGCCAAGCCGATCATGGATCAATTGGTGGGGGCGGCCGAGACCGGCATCCCTTTCTCGTCCCTGGGGCCCCAGGCGCATCTGAGGCCTCTGAAGACCATGGAGCCCGAAGAAGAGGTGGAGGATGACCCCAAGGTGCACCTCGAGGCCAAAGAACTTTGGGATCAGTTCCACAAGCGGGGCACCGAGATGGTCATTACCAAGTCGGGAAGGTAAGCAAGTGGCAGGGCCCCCTCCCCCCAAACTATTGCAGGGTTTTTTTTACACCCCCCCTCTTTTTATCTCTTCCCCGAACAGTTAATTTGGGCTTAGAGAAAAACTTTAAGTTCCCCTGGAACTGTGTACAGACATTCCCGGGCCCTGCTTCTATGGCAGGAAATTTCAGCTTACCTGGGCGTCCGCAGGGGGTACTTTCCTACCTAGCTCCGCATCCTGGTTTCCCTACAGGCTAGAATTTTTCCAGGGAGCACAGACACCTCCGCAGGAAGAAAGAAAACCACCCCACTGCAGGAAATTCACTGTTGCAAACCTTTCCATCCTTATGCCTTTGTTGATGTTTTGTTTCGTTTGTTTCGTTTTGTTCCCAGTGAGAACTTTACGCCCTTTTCTTTTGTGTGGTCGTGGGAGACCTGACACTAGCTATCCACTTGCGCTTTTTGCCCCTCCAACCTAGCCTCTGGGTCTGCAGGGGGGTCTGAGCTTGCCTCTGGCAGGGTCACAGAGAAATTGGAGGGCATTTGGGTTTGTTTGTCCACACCGGTTCACGTGTCTGTAATCCGAGGGAGAGTTGAGGCAATTTTGGATAATTAAGATTATGTTTGCAGATCCAAGGAGCCAGTGGAGAGACACATACTGCTTTTTTACGTGTGGATCTTATCAACCATATTTTACATAATTTTCAAAAGGTCCTTGCCTGACCGAAACCTGCCTGTCACTTAAAATCACTGATTTTTTTTTTAATGGCCTTGACATCTATGAAGGCGTAACATTGGAATAATAAAAAGAAAATCCCTCTCTTGATGTCTTGAGCTTTCTGTGTCTTTTCCTAGCTAAACGAGGCCAAAGTTTTGGCAGAAAATCCTCAAACCCAGAAGACATTTCCTCAGTTTCACAGCGAAGTGCTTCCTTTTAAGTCAAGGCTCTAGAATGCCAACACTCCTGAGAAATAAAAGTCAGTTTGGTGGTACAATCTTGCAGTTTGGGACCAGCCTGAGCCAGAGGAGAAACGCGGTTAGCAGGCGTGCGAGGCAGATCGGTTATCAGGCCCAGGAGTCCAGCCCAAACTACAAAATTCGTTTTGAGAACTCACTGAAGGCCAGTTTCATTTCGCCAGCCACGGGATTCCTGTTCCGTAGCAGGGAGGGTGGAGGTTTATTTCCTAACATTTTCTCATCAATGGAATGGTGGAAAATTCTAGCCTTGACTGACCCCGCTTTACTAAAATCCTACCCCAAGCAGTTTAGAAGTAGACACTCAAAGGGAAGAGCACAGGCAAGAATTTCTCTGTAAAGAGGGCCATCTGTGAAGTCCTACAAGAGGAAAAAATTGTGGAGAAAGTATTAGACGCTGCAAAGAACTGTAGTGCAATATTCACTTGTTTGAACCTTGGGACCCTTCCCGTTAGAGAAACTGAGCATATGTAATGCTTGGGCCGTGAAAGAATAGGATTTTGCACTCAGTGGCTCTCACACCAAAGCCCATCAGTCAATCACAATAGAGAAGTTTTAAATTTGATTTAAGTATTTCAGGGTAAATAGGGAATCAAAGCCAAGAGTCTGAGTGATTTCTTTTTCTTTCTTTTCTCTTCCCTCCAATTGTAGGCGAATGTTTCCTCCATTTAAAGTAAGATGTTCTGGGCTGGATAAAAAAGCCAAGTATATCTTGTTGATGGACATTATAGCTGCTGATGACTGTCGATATAAATTTCATAATTCTCGGTGGATGGTGGCGGGTAAGGCTGACCCTGAAATGCCAAAGAGAATGTACATTCACCCAGACAGCCCTGCTACCGGGGAACAGTGGATGTCCAAAGTTGTCACTTTCCACAAACTGAAACTCACCAACAACATTTCGGACAAACACGGATTTGTAAGTTACTCGGCTCCCCTCAGGAAAATGTCCTCTTTCTTCACCCTAGGGAAGGCAGTACTTATCCTCTCCTTGCAAAAATCACCAGTTTCTGCTCAGGCTTCTCCCTTGCTCTCTGTTGCTAAGCATAGCAAAGTTTTTGAATCCGAAACAGAGGATTCCGGGTGTTTCTCTTCGGATAATGGAAGGCCTGGCGTTCTCAAAAAAAAAAAAAAAAAAAAATTGAGGGCCAAAACACTAACCGCTCACGTCCTGTGGCAATCCCAGATCTTGGTAAACGGCTGACAGTGAAGATAAAAACCAATCGTTAAGATACAAAATCAATTTTTAAAGTTATGTGTGCGCCAGGGATTGGTTCTGAGCTATCATACTTCTGTTTTGAAACCAGCCGTATTATTTCTTGGGGGAGTTTTAAGGTTCAGAGGCTTGGCTACATTGGTTAAAGGGGGTGAATGTATTTTTTGAGAGATTTCTTTCTTCTGTGAAAGAAGAATATGGGGCTGAGGTGAAAGTCAGGTTTACTAGAAATGAGGCTGAGCTCTCCACGATAAAAACTGTGTGTGTGTGTGTGTCTGTGTGTGTCTCTGTGTTGGGAGTGTATATATGGATTCAGTGGGGGAGTCCTTAGAAACTTTTAGGAGACCAGAATTGCTTATAAAAGTCAAGCAAAACACCTTTTGCCCCCTGCCCTTACCTCTCCCCAACATTTCAACAAATAAAGCCGAGTGATAAGCGAGGAATCAGCAGAAAGATTAGGCCCAGGAAGACGTGAATGGCACGGAAGTATCTTCAAGCGGGTGCGGATCGCCTTTGAAGCCCTTGATTTGATTAAGGCATAAATATTCCTCTCTAGAGTTCAACCTTTCAGGGCTTTAAGTGGATTGGGCTCGTCAATTAGTGGGCACTTAAAGGACTGAATCATTTTGTAAATTAAAATGCATGTTTTTCTCTATCTTTTAAGACTTTGGCCTTCCCAAGTGATCACGCAACGTGGCAGGGGAATTATAGTTTTGGTACTCAGGTAGGCTAGGGTTCAAGGTACGAACGGACCTTAGGTGGTGAGGGTGGGGGGACCCTTTGGAAATTGAGGAGCAATTTGGATTCTCCAGAAGAGGATATCTGTGGAGCGGAATGTACCCAAAGAGGTACTCCGAGGAGAGGAGGTGGGCTCGGCATAAGCGTGGTACCCTTCGGTGGGGTAGACGTCAGCCTGGCAGGGGTCCTGAGGTCCCATTGGTCCC